GATTACTTGTGTATTTGATTGAACTTGAAGTATAAATTTGTATTCAAATTCAAGTTTTTAATTATTTTTGTCAAATCCTCCATCTAAAGTTTGCATTATAAAATTTGTTGTTTAACCAAATTTAAATTATTTTAAATTTTTTAACCAATCACATAATGACATGTATATAAGAATATCTCACACTCTTTTGTAAATCTCTCAAACAAGAATATTTCTCACTGTTTTCATTCAATTTCCTTTTTAGTCTCATTTTTAATATATAACTAGATCTTGAACCGCCCAACCATGCAGATTTTATTTTTTGTTTATAATTTATAAAAGAACTATCAATAAATAATAATATAATTACTTATAAAATCTCGCAAAATACTAAAGTGATTGATGTTAGAATATAATTGTTAAACACAACATAAAAATATAAATTATTATTAACAAATATTTATCTATAGGATATCTAAACAAATGTTAAAATGTATTGTATGAAAAATTGCAGAAACTAAAACTCTATATTAAAGACGATTATATTTGATTATTCCAGATTATAATTTATGTATCAAACTCAAAAATATATTAGAAAGTAATAAAAATCAATAAGAATATAAACTAAAATATATAAAACAAATTAATATATATTAATAATGACGAATAAGAAATTTAAACAACAAAATTACAAAGTTATATAATATATAACATTAAATGTAAATCTTATATATATTTTTATATTACTATCAAAGATTTATATTTATACAATGAAAATCTGTGTGGATCAAACTCTAGTATATAATTTTTATATAGGTTTTATAAATATATAGTGCTATCTAGATATTTAAATTTCTTAAAAAAACATTTGTATTTCAAATAAAAGATAAAGATATGGGGTGCTATTATAATTAAATTATGTAAAATTTGATAACTGTTTTAAAGAAGGGTCCAAATAAAAAAATTATACATGAATACCTCAGGACTTCGTTTTAATAGTATATAGATAAATGTATAATATATTATTTTTTATATCTGAAATATAATATCAGTATTTGTTTCTAACATAATCTATGTAAATTTTGTAAATAAGTATTTTTGAAACTTCATCAATTTATATTATTATTATCATTAACATATAATTAAAAATATTTTAGATAATTTTAAATTTTCATTTATAAATAAAATAATAATTTTAATGATAATATATGATAATTAGACTAAATTCAATGATTTACGGAAATACAATTTAAAAAGATGCCAAAAAATGAGAAATTGATGTGGATACACCCAAAGACTCACATAACTTGTCATATACCCTTGTTTTTTTTAAAAAATATTTTTCATGACTATAATACCCTTATTTCTCTAGATCTCTCTCTTCTCTTCTCCTTATGTTCTAATCTTTTTTATCTCTCGTACATCTTCTCGCAAGCTTAAATTAAATTTAGGTTCTTCCAATCTTCTTCTAATTCACTGTCTATCTTTAATATCTCCAATATTCATTACATATCACTATTTTTTTAACTCTGATTTTATTGAAACCTTTAATGCTAATTGTATTATCTTACACCAATTCCACTGTTTCCAATTTTGAATCACAATCAACTTTTATAAGCTTCCAATCCCAACAATAATTCTGCGTCATGGCCTTTTCGTGAGGTAGTTGAGTAACTTGTTGACCTTGACGAGTTCATCATCTTATCATCTCTCACCTATATCAATATTTTCAATTTAAATCACAACCCGCTTTAAGCTTCCAATCGCAAAAAGTATGTGTTGTGGTTTTGAAGATTGTAGAAATTTGGCAATTCTCTGCGAGATTATCGAAGAATCTATTATCTCTGCTGCAGATTCATGGAGAAAGAATTGAAAGATCTCGGGCAGTGGAAAGCTTGAAATCTACATTCTTTTCGTTAGATAATATATATGCTAGTAGGTATTTCATTACTTACCCGCTATTATTTATATTTTAATGAATTCTTAATCGATACATGAATTGTTAGCTGTTACAATTAGATTTGGGGCCATTTGATAGATAACTAATTAGCTGTTAATAGTTTTCATTAACCGATATATGATTTGTTAGTCGATACATTTGTTTGATACATAGATTGTTAGGTGATCGGGAATTATTAGCTGATGTTTTAGTTGGTATGTAGATTTTTATCTGATATGTAAATATATAGCTGATACATGATTTGATATCAAATAATAAATACTCATTATTAAGTATAGTATTAATTCTTTTAGTATTGATAAATATTTCTTAGTGGTCAGTTTTCGCCCAATTGTTATATATTTCTTAAAGAATCGATAATTTATCCAACTAATATGATCATTAACATATAACAATTAAGTTATTTATTTATTATATTAACAAACCGATAAACGTGATATTAAGAACTAAGAAGAGTTTGTCAGAGGATTAGATCAAAAAATAGAATGGCGGTGATTGATAAATAGTGTGAAAAAAATTGATAAATATTTCTTAGTGTTCAATTAATATATTGTGTATCCGCTAAATTCTAGAATTTTATGTTTTTGTTAAAGTAGAAGGACATTTTTCGTCCGTGCAGTATCAAAAGATTACTCATTTTATGGTTATCCATAGCTATGGCATTTGGTCAATTTGGATCTTCGTTGGGTATATTACACCAGTTGTCCCCAAATAAATTTTGTTAGATTTATTTTATTTGTATTTTAAATAGAAAAATAAAAATATTTAAATATATCATCATTAAATTAAGTAACATTTGATAATCTTGATTTCTAAGGTATAGACTCATAATAACAAAAGAAAATCTTGAGACATTCTATAACATTTGTTATCTCTTCTCTTATAATTTGTACATTTGACTTTTATAATTCGAAGACAGTTGCCAAGTAAATTATGTTATATTATAAAACTAGAATAAGACCTGCGCCTTGCGCAGGGTGAATATATGTAATTAAAATATAAAATTTTAATATTCACAAATTTAAAATTTACATATGATTGTTTTTGTATGTATTTGAAATTTTAGAATTTTGGAATTTTTATATAATTATCTATGCGTATGATCAAAAACAATTTTAATTAGAAATATAAATCAAATCTTAGAATTTAATGGATCTGATTTCATATATCTTTTTACTTTTCAGTGTTCGAGTGATGGAAAATAAATGGAGTGTCACTGGGCTTGATTGGTAGAGTATAGCAAGTTCCCTAATGTTTTTAAAGAAGCAATTGGTAAAATATTTGCAATTAAAATANTTAAGTTTTTCGAATACAAATAAACAATTTAAAATTAATTATTGTCATGATTTAACATAGCCATAATGATTTAAAAAATTAAAAAAATTAAAAGTTAACAAATTAAAAATTAACTCAGTTTTATATCATGATTTAACAATTTAAAAATTAATTATGGTTATGAGAAGTTTACGTTCACGTGTCAATCCTATTTATCTTCGAGTTATGAGAAGTTCACGTTCACGTGTCAATCCTATTTATCTTCCATTTTTCTCTTGCTATGTTTTTTTTTTATATTTTGGTTATTACTCGATATAAATATTTATTTTGAATTTTATTCTCATTTCGTTTGTTTGTTTTGACCTGAAATTTAGAAAATATTTAAGTTTTAAAATAATTAAACAGATAAATACTTAGGTTAAGATTTGCACTTTATGCACAATAAGTATTTTATATTTATTATTTATTTTATATTTTTCTGCATATTATAAATAATAAATATATATATATATTAAATAACTAAGAAATCAATTACTATTATGTAACAAATTGGCGTATGCATATAAATTTAACTATTACTCTTGTTTATTCACAATTAGGGTAAATAAATCAAAATAATCAATCTTATATATTGTATATGGTATATAATTAAATTTAAATAATATAAACATAGTAATATAGCACACTTTTAATATGGATATTTATTAAATGAGGTTTCTACTCATATGATTTTATGATTATTTGCATATTTGTGTAACAAAACTTTACACCAATGATTTATAAATTACGTTATGATTATTTGAATTTAAGTATTTTCCATTTTACATATACACTTCCATAAATTAAAAGGAATAAAGTTATTATAGTTAATATATGCAAATCGTTATCAAATCGTATATTTTCCTTTTCCTCCATTACATGTGTGCGATATATATAAATATATAAACTATGTTACATGCGTTATATGCGTCTCTAATTATTTTTCCCTAGCAAATTTCAATTGAACCTAAAGCCGCCACGTCAGTTTAATTGATATGCTAATTGATTGACAACTAAGCAGGGTTACTTTTTAATTAATACAAACTTGAGGTTAAATCTTTTCAAATGTTTCTCAATTAATATATAGGGGATATTTTATTTAATTAGAACATATCTAGATATTTTAGTAATGGGCCCATTCGGAATCTAAGAAGCTACACGTGGCAAAGCTTCACCGCAGGGATGAAGAAGAATCTATTTAAAGTGGCGTATCGTATCCACTCCTAAACTTCATCTACGAACCAACCAACCAACCAAGCCTCTTGAGGTTTCCGAAGATCAAATCAAAAACCCTAAGTAAGTTAGGTCCAAATCACTTCTGAAAAATTTCTCGATTCGATTTAGATCATCGTGTTTTTCCCTAGGGTTTATTCGTTATCCAGTTCCTGATTGATCTTCTTCGTTGATCTCTGTTTTCTATCGGAATCTTTTTCGTCGATCCATATGTGTTATTATGTATCGTGTTTCTAGAACATTCTCGTACCGTATTGTTTCACTGATGCGCCGTTTCTGTATAAGTTGATGTATTGATCGAAAAAACCGTACCTTTACTTAATAATCTATCTGATCTGCTTGTTCCTGTCTTTTGATTATGTTTTCTTGCGCAAGTTAGCTCCTTTTATAATAAATATGATCTTACCTCTCTGTTTTGTAGTGATTATGCTTCTTCTGAACATGTAATATAGTATGGAGATTTCTTTTATTGATCAGGCTTTTTGATTGTTTGTAGGTAGCAGCAGCGAGGACCATGGCTTCGAGAAGGATTAACAAGGAGCTTAGGGACCTGCAAAGGGATCCTCCTGTCTCTTGCAGTGCCGGTGAGTATCTAACTAGCTTCTGTCAACTTTAGAGAAGTGAACCACTTGGGTTTATATAATTACAATCAAAGTTGGGATCTTTTTTGTACTAACTACTACCTAGAGAGAGAGAGATTTAGTAGCTGATTTAACATACTCTGTATCACTTTTCTGATGCAATTGGTGGATGTTGTTTAGGTCCTGTGGGTGATGACATGTACCACTGGCAAGCAACTATTATGGGTCCAACTGATAGCCCTTTCGCCGGAGGTGTATTCCTTGTTTCCATTCACTTCCCACCGGATTACCCCTTCAAGCCACCAAAGGTTCACCAAAGATTTGTATTTGCTTTGCTATGTTTATTTGTGCTTAGAGCGAGTGTTCAATCAGTTAGGCTTTTGTCTGTTTTATGACGCAGGTTTCTTTCCGCACCAAGGTTTATCACCCGAATGTCAACAGTAATGGCAGCATCTGTCTTGACATTCTGAAAGAGCAGTGGAGCCCTGCACTTACCATATCCAAGGTAATCAATCAGTCTGTTTCTCTTTCCACCATACGTTTTTTTTTTGTTCGTGTCTCTGTTGCGGTCATATCTATTATCCATTCTCTCTAGTGTTAATATTAGTTTTTCACCAAAGGTCGAGTTGATACTCGTATGGTATTAGTTCAATAACTCTTTTATTATGCATTACCTTATGCTATATAATGGACAAGAGCCTTTCATTATCGATATTAATGACGATACATATGGATTTCCAATTTTATATGTTTACATTGGCGAATTGCTTGAAAGATACACTGATTTGATAAAATGGGTGATAATCGTTAATTTTCATATTCTTCTAGTGCTTAAAAGAGTTGGTGTTGCATTTTTCCACAGGTTCTTCTGTCGATATGCTCATTGCTGACAGATCCAAACCCTGACGATCCTCTGGTTCCTGAAATAGCCAACATCTACAAGACAGACCGTACCAAGTACGAGAATACTGCCCGATCCTGGACCCAGAAGTATGCAATGGGATGATGATGGTTGATAAATAATGATCCGCAACCAGTACATTGCGCATTTGTCTAAGAATTGGAGAAATAAGAAAAAAAAACATGTGTGCCTTTTGCTTGGTTGCTTGATTTATTAGTTTTATTTTCTTATTAAGCCATGTGTTTGGGTGTGTACATGAGCTTTATTGATACATTTGATACTTTCCAATGCTTTAAGCCAACAATTATCTATTATGATTAAAATGAGTCGCTCTCTTGCTTGTTGTTAGTGATGAATGAAGAATACACAAAAGTTTTCAAAATTATATTCAAACATTGGTAGTTACTTATTAGTCTAACAGTGAAACCATATTGGACCAAGACGTTTTGGTGACCTAAACAAAGGTTTAGACGGTGTGTGTTTCTTATTGGCTCCTCCTTATTGTTTGTTACAATTAAAATAGTCATGACGGTAGAACAACTTCATAAGACTTGTTCCAGGATATTGGGCAATATGTACGGGTGTTCTCTTAAAAAAAGTCAAATACTGATGTAAGGCATTGAAGTATTCAATAGTTCTGCCAATTATTTTTCTTTTCTTTCAATCGTGTATGTGACAAAGATACATGATGTACTTTTTAAAAAATGGGGGTATCACTGTATCTGACATAGATACATGTAGGCCTAGATACATGAACATGATGTACTCAAAACTGAAGAAGAAAAGAAGAATAGAGTTGGGTGCTAACTGTTAAGCCACCATTAAAATGAGTGTAAGTTCGGTGAATTATCCATTAGTAACAATAAATATTTTAATTATACAAAAAAAAAGAAAAAATATTTTTCTCGTGGGTTGACCGTTTTAGGCTGGCAAACCGAACAGAAACTGAAGAAAACAAAATCTTAAGTAGGTTTGGTTTGTTGTACTTTAAATCTATCTTTTGAAAGAGTACTAAAAAGAGTATGTATGTGAATGTGAACTGCTTCCAGGTGTCTCGTTGAATAAATTTAACATAATTTAAAGGAATTTTTTATATATTTGTGTATATATGAAAAAAGAGAGGTGTGGAAGGGAGTTAAAAAATGCGAATGAGACATGTCGGCCATGTCACGGTGAGACGATTTAACGAAGAAAGAAGAAACAGAGTCCCAAAATTACATCTTTTACTTTAAAAAAAAACAAGAAAAGGAACCCCACAGCACAGAGACAGAGAAGTGCACGAAATTCTCTCAGAGAAATTGTGGATTTGATAAGGAAACTCTTTGTAGATTTTATCTACAATTCTCTCTGTATCGAAGAAGAGGTGTGTATAACCGTGTCTCTATCTATGTTCGATTTTTATTTCTCTGTTACAGATATTCGAATATTCTCTGTTATAACTTTTTTGTTCCTATTTATAGTAATCTGTATCAATACTTGTCTCTTTTGGAATCCACAAGGATCTTCGTCTAGGGTTTTTGTAGCGTTTCATCACCATTCCTCAACTTCCTCTGCATTGCTTCTTTTTTTTTTCCCTCAGGAATTCGAAGGATATCTTTTTGACTATCTCTAAAGATGTCTGGTAAGTGAATATGGTTTTGACTTTACCTTCTTTCTTAGGCTATATCACTTTGATCTTGTATGAAGATGTATATATATATGTATATGTGAAGGTTGGGAACAAACAAGAGACAAGTTATCAGATCCTGAGTGCACAGAGGATGAGCCACGTCGTTCTAGAATGGGGAACCTGAGAAAGAAAGCGATTAGTTGTTCTAGTAAACTTACTCATCCTCTGAAAAGAAAAGGGAAACGGAAAATAGATTACTCAGTTCCTTTCATTGAAGATGTTAGGGACGAGAATGAAGAGAAGATTGTTCTTATACTGCGTCAAGAGCTTCTCAACAAAGATCTTTTGCCTCCAAGACATGATGATTATCATATGTTGTTGAGGTAAAAACTATTGTCTGACAAGTTGTATAATACTTTTGTTCTTGTCTCACTTTAACATGTTTGGTTTGCCACTAGGTTTCTGAAGACAATGGAGTTCAACATCGAAAAAACTGTAATTGCATGGGAACAAATGCTCAAATGGAGGAAAGAGTTTGGAGCAGATCGTATAATACAGGTTAAAAATGATATATATATATATATATATATATATATATATATATATATATGGACTTAAGATGCTACAGGAACGAGTAGTAATAGTAGTAAGACCAGTTTATAAAGTGTTTTGTCTTTCTTGCTCAAAAACAGGAGTTCAGTTTCAAAGAGTTGGACAAAGTTGTGCGTCACTATCCACAGGGGTATCATGGAGTAGATAAAGATGGTAGACCAATCTACATCGAGAGACTAGGAAAAGCTCATCCCGGTAAGCTTATGGATGTTACAACCATTGAGCGGTACTTAAAGTACCATGTTCAAGAATTCGAGAGGGCTCTTCAGGAAAAGCTTCCTGCATGTTCCATTGCAGCTAAGCGAAGAGTCACTACAACGACTACAATACTTGATGTTGAAGGCCTGGTATGGTTCAACTCCTAGTTAGATAGATAGATGCTTTTAAATTGATTTGTAACATTTCTCTCTTCAGGGTATGAAGAACTTTAGTCCTACAGCTGCGAATCTCCTGGCATCTATTGCTAAAGTAGATTGCAACTATTACCCTGAGGTACCTAACTCTTTTTGAAGGATATGGAATCCAGTGAGCCGAGTGGAACATGAATATGTCTGGTTGGCTATGAAAGTTTGTGTGTAATCGTTGGTGTCTGACTCTTGCAGACTTTGCACCGAATGTTCATTGTCAATGCAGGGATTGGATTCAGGACTTTACTATGGCCTGCTGCACAGAAGTTACTTGATCCCATGACTATTGCAAAGATACAAGTAATGTATTATCTCTCTAGTTTTAAGAATTGTATATTCCAATGTCAAAGTTTTACTCATTATTACTTGGTATTTACTAAGGTTTTGGAGCCAAAGTACTTGTCAAAGTTGCTTGAAGCAATTGATTCCAGGTTATACAGATAACCTTATTCAAGTTTGTGTATGTTATGGCATACTAACATTATCATCACATACTACTTTTTCTATCCGTACAGTCAACTTCCAGAGTTCTTGGGAGGACTATGCAAATGTGCTAACGAAGGAGGGTGCTTAAGGTCTAACAAAGGACCATGGAATGATCCTGAAATAGTTAAGGCATGTCCCTTGCTTTTTGTTTGTAAGAATCTATTAGCTGCCATGATAAGTTGAGCTATAATAGTATCAGTGTCTTGTTTTGCAGCTCGTACATCACATGGAAGTAAATACCATACCACAATCTAAAAGAGCTCCTCTTCATATAAGAGATCATGATTCTGCCACTCGCATGATCCCACCTAAAGTGAGTTTCTATACTCCATTTGATATAAGTGGTTTTTGTTCTCTACAACGTTGTAACTCTTAGTTCTTGGCAGGAAACTTCAAAAGAAGAGCGAGATTCTGAAGAGCATTACCATTCCAGTGGGTCAAGATGTTCAATGTATACTTGTTTAGTTCCTCCACACTCTGATGAGGCCAGTACATCAGACGGTGATAAATTCATTACCACTGTGGAATCTGTAGAACCAGCTCAAGGAGACTTGTCTCAACCCCAGTCACCAGACATGAACACTGAATACTCTTCCTCTGTAAATACACCTAGAAGAGAAGGTGTGTTTTTCTTTCAATCCTTGTTAGTGTTCTGTTTATCCGCAACTGCATATTCAAAATGTAAATCATGATCACATTTTCAGGTGGTCAGGTTTCACGGTTTAGTGCTCTTAGAGATAAGATCAAAGGAGAGAACATCATTCACTTGGTGAAAATACTAGTAGCCATTCCACTGATGAAGCTGTTTGCACTCTTTGCTTTCTTATTGCATGGATACTGGCAAAGACAAAACTCTGTGATCCATGTCCTCCCAGATTCATCTGTAAACAACCAGATGATTCTTCATTGTTTGGAACGTCTCAAGAAGCTGGAGAAAGACTTCACAGAGACTAGTAGAATCCCTCTAAAAATCCCAGAAGCAAACGAGAAGCTATTAACGGAGTCTCTTGAGAGGATCAAGTCTCTAGAACTCGATCTCGACAAAACAAAATCAGTAAGTACACTTCTTGATCTTGACCTTTTATTATACTATGCCTTGATGCTTTTTTTATCATATAAGTTCATAACTTAGTTTGTGTTTTTCTTCAGGTATTACATATAACGTTAACAAAACAGCTTCAGATCACAGAAGAGCTTGAATCTCGTTACCAAGAAGATGTAAGCCCCACTCAATCCTTTTTCTTCTCCTTACTATTTTTAACAGTTTATTTGTAGTTGAGACTCTGCTTGTGTATGTTTTGCAGCAAAGAAAGCGATGCTGCTTTTGAAGCTTTGGGGTCGTAACGTTACAGAGAGATATTATTACTGTTTTTTACAGAAATGAAGGAGGCAAAAATATTATAAACACACAAATTTGAGAATATTTATTTCTATTCCTTGTAAAAAGATCATTCAAATTTCCGTGTGTAGATGAACGTTTAAGTTTGTATCTGAAAGAGTCATTAAACAAAGAAAGAGAGAACGCATGTTTTGAACATTCTTCACTCGGGAAATAATATTTGGCATCTTTCATGTTTATCATAAGAGAATAGTCTTTTTTGGTAGATGGCAGGAAGCTGCAGAATTATTATTTTATTTGCTTGCTGAGATATTTCAAAGTCAAGGTCGTGTTTATATATGACAATATGAGGTCTCTTCGTGACTTCTGCAACCACAGAATCATGAAGCTTAACTTCCTCTCTAGTTCTCTCTTCTTGTTTCTCCTACTCTCAGTATTTTCCAGTTTCATCTCAGGTAACAACTTTCTTGATTCTTTTTTCCTTCCATATAAGATCTGTTCTAAATGTGTAGACCTCAACGATTTTCTTGTTTTTTCTTATATTGCAGATAATGTATTCATCAAATCTGAAACTTTGGTTAGTGGAAGAAACCTGCTTCAGAAGAAGAAAGGCAACTTCTTTTTAAATCTCTGCTTCTTGAACTTACTGTTCTGTGTTTCTTGAATTAGTCTCATCTCTCTTGAACTTACTATTATAATCCTTTTAAATCCTTCCAGCTGTTGATTTATATTCTCTTAGTATGTATTACGAATAAGAGTGTTCCAGCAGTTATACATATCTCCAAACTGTTATATATAAGACGGATTATAGCTACTTACTAGCTAGTAACGATTCATTGACCAAATCTTTGAATTAGAACCTTGACCATTGATTCTTAGAGTTATGAATACTCTTCTGTTTATGAAGTTCTATACTTTTGTTCTATCTTGAAACCTCTACATGTGATATTTTCAATTATTCATGGCATTAGTCTTAAACATTAGCGATTCTTTGTCTATTTGTTTCATGTGGATGCATGCAACTGTCTCTAGGTGACATAATTTCTCTTTCCTTTTCTGTATGGAACAGCATGTCCAGTGAAGTTTGAGTTTCTGAACTACACAATCATAACAAGCCAATGCAAGGGTCCCAAATACCCACCCAAGAAATGTTGCGCCGCATTCAAGGAATTTGCGTGTCCTTACGCTGATGAGCTGAATGACTTAAGCAATGATTGTGCTACCACTATGTTCAGCTACATCAACCTCTACGGTAAATACCCGCCCGGACTGTTTGCAAACCAATGCAAAGAAAAAGGAGGTCTCAAGTGCCCGGGTCAAAAATGAAGTCATACTCTAGTTAAACCGGGTGGTCCTCGCCTTCTTATCAGCAACTTTACCAACTATCTACAATCACAATACTATGTCACTTGCATCAATTAATAATATGGTCTTAGCCTTCATATAATAATATGTATCTTATAGCCTGATCGGATGAATATCAAGAAGCTACATAAATAATGAAAGTTCTCCTAATGTCTCAGCTCTACAAAAAAAAAAAAAACTCCCAAAGGAAAACTATCAAGCCTCTTTTGCACCTGCAAGGGGAGAAGTCCTATGTCTCACTACAACTTGATCAGTGATGTCCCTATTCTGTCAATGCGTGTCTTTAGGAGTGAGCCAGTGGGACGCGGGAGTCACAGTCTAAATAGAAGCCTTCCGTTGGCTTACTCCCTAAATAAAATAGATAATCTAAATAGACACGGCAAGACACGGCATGACAATCTTAATAGACTAGTTTTGTGGATAGTTACTAATCGGATCAGTATATATTAGGTTAGGATAATGTGGGCTTGATTTGTAAAATGTAAACGGTTGAGATTGGGTTTTCTAAGCTTTCACCAACGGGATTTTCCTTAATGGAAGTTTGGTTGAGAACAAAAAAAAACTTCCATAATCTATTAATCAGCCTATTTTGTTTTGTTGTAATTTATTAATGGAGACAAAAAAATAATTAACTATCTAACCAAAAACAAATCCTTCATTATTTATGAAATATATATTATATTGTTTTTTTTACCGGTTAATGAAAGATAAAAAAATATTTTTCTTCTTCTTCTTTGATTATTAACTACTATCACTCTTCTTCCATCTCCACCACCTTACTTTCTGTCACTGCTACGATACACTATCACCAACTTCACACCATATTTTGTATTTATTGTGTTTTTAATCACCATATCTTTTTCTATCATCATCATTTTTATTAGTTATTAGCCAAATCTGTAGTTTTCAATTTTATAGTTTTGCCATTAGATTCTTCAAAACAACCACAATCTTCTTGATACCAGTCTCCACTTCTTCCACCGTAACAACCACCACTCGTATATACTGTAAGTTGTCGATTGTACTATTCTACTTGAACAATATGTACTATGTTATTTCATTATTGTTTTTTTTATTTGGATCTGTATATTTTGATATTTGGGTTAAGGTTTATATTTTCTTTTAGGGTTTAGTGTTTTGGGTTCAGTTTGTGGTAGGTTGGAGTTGATGTTAAGGTAAGCATTACCTCATTCCCGATAATCATAAATATTTAAAAATTTACACAATATGTAATATGCTATTTCGTTTGTTAGTATTCTATTTCGATAATATATGTACTATGTGTATACTTCAGTATTTGGGTTATGATTTATATATCCTTATAAGGTTTATATTTTTTTAGGGTTTAGTGATTAGTGTTTTGTATTTAGTTTGTGGTAGGTTTGGGTTAATGTTGAGGTAATTATTACCTCCTTCCCTGCAATCATAAATATTTAAAAATTTAAACAATATGCATCTATACTATTAAAAGTAAAGGCATCCTTGAAAAATTGACTGATGGAAGTTGTATGCACCCTCATTAATGGCATTTTGGTAATTTACTTTTTGGACTTACACCTACATATATATCGATTTGTTACAAAGCATATCAAATATTACATATACCAGAATTATTCTCCCTCTTCACATTAATTACTCTAACTATATTTCATACATTTATATTATGTTATACACCTTATATTACACGATTTAAATCTATAGATTTCCAACATTATAATTTTTGGTTGATATTTTTTGGTATATGCATCATATATCGATGATATGATGCTATATTTCATATATTAATATTTTCATATAGCTGTACTACACCTTATATTTCAAAGACTATACTTTATAAACCCATATTACTCTAACCATGATATGATGTTATATTTCATATATTAAGATTTTCATATAGTTGTACTACACCTTATATTTCAAAGACTAGATTATATAAACTCATACTACACTGGCCTACACTTTGTAGCTAGTGTAGTTGATTGTAGACCTTATATTACATGATTTCAATATATATATTTTCAACATTATAATTTTTGGTTGATATTTTTTTGGTATATGCATCATATATCGATGATATGATGCTATATTTCATATCTTAATATTTTTATATAGTTGTATTACACCTTATATTTGAGAGACTATACTTTATAAACTCATATGACTCTAACCATGATATGATGTTATATTTCATATTAAGATTTAAAACACAGTTGTACTACACCTTATATTTCAAAGATTATATGATATAAACTCATACTACACTTTATATTACATATATTAAGATTTTGTTATAGTTGTAGACATTTGTTAATGTATTATATAATATATTTTTTATATCGATATTTTTATGAGTTTTGCATACTATATCAACCATTTTTAATGTCTCACTACTTCTATCATTTATTTCATACCTCAAAACCATTTCAAATATAAGGAAAATAGAGAATCCATTCAAATGTCCTTCATTTCATGTTTTTAAGACATTTGAGAATGGAGAATCCATCCAAATGTCATTCATTTCATGTTTTTTCTTTATATGTTGATATATCATCATTCTCATGGTGACATTTAATGGACGAGATACGTTTTGTTAAGAAAATATTGCAAAAACTATTTTCTATAATTATCTTCCTACTAAAATAAATAAATTTCTTCATCTACAATTTTATAGATTAACCACAATCAATATCGTGGTAATTTATTATTTGGTTGGATTCCATAAATTTTGGTAACTTACCGTAGTTAGATTACCATTAACTGTTAAATTTCAAACTTCCTATCTAATTCAAAATATCTTTAAGAAATATTCATTCTTCCTCGAAAAAGATATTTTTAAAAAAAAATCATCTAAATATTATGTCCTACATTTGCGTAACCTAAATGTATATCGTCACTACGTATTATAAATATAGCCTCTCTTAACCACTATATTCATCATTCCTTGAAAAACCTAAAACAAAAATGGCGAATAATTTGCAGTTGTCTTTCTTGAGCGATATAAAACCGAGGAAGACTGCATGTCGCATCCAAGTAAAAATCCTTCACACATTGACACATTTCATGAAAGACACATGGGAGACAATTGAACTAATTCTTTGTGATACAAATGTAAGTTTATCATTTTATATAGATTTATGATTTAGATATCTTCATTTCGTAAGTTTTATATATTTAATATAAAAGATATAGGCCTATAAACATATTAATTTATGACTTGATATGAAATTCTATTAGGGGTCAGAGAGTAGCTTGTTGTCTTTGGGGTAAATTTGCTGAGAATCTTCATACAGTTAGCCAAGAAACAGAAGACATGGTGATATGTCTTCTACGATTTGCTAAGATTGGGCAATATAGAGGTAATCCTTGAAAATGAAAACTTATGTTTCGATTTTGTACTAAATGACCATTGTTTATATAGTTGGAAATATGTTTCTACAAACTCAATGTTTTGATCATTCTTTCAATTTTCTGTTTTATGTCATAAGAAATTACTCAAATGCTTATGATTTATTTTTGGTTATAAGTGAGGTCTAAATCTCAAATGCTTATGATGTAAGTAGGTCTGCGCATTTGATTCATCACCCGTGGGTCATGCCCCGTTTGACCCGCTGCGGAGCAGGTGCAGGTCAAACAATTTGAAAAATTGATTGGCGGGTGCGGGTTATGAGTATTTTATGCGGGTTGGTAGATTTTGAATCGCGGGTTTAGGGTTTAGGGTTTAGGCCATGGACCCATCCAATTTTGGTTTCAATTTAATATGTATTTTAATTCTTCACACTCTCACAACACTTAATTTTCTGATTCTCGGTTCAACCAAAAACTCACTCGGTTATGCAAAACTCAATGAAAATACCCTATTAAAAAGTTAAATAAACATCAAATTTCACATATAAAACTATCAAATAGTAGAAATCGAATCATTTGATACATTTTGTCACAATCAAAACAAAACCCGCGCGGATCAAAATCTAGTTATACTATTTCTTTTGTTAATATTCTATTTTGATAATACTTAATATTTTATAATTTTATTAATGTGTTTAATTTATATTACATTTTATATATACTTGTATTTGGTGTTTTACTAATAATATATGTTACATATGTGTAAAAGAAACGAAGAAAAGAAGCATACCAAACTATAGAGAAAGGAGGATGATATTATTAGTATTCAGAAGGGGCGACATAAAATGAATGCATGACAACATCTTATATAGGAAGAAAATTCAACAAGTTTTACTGTAAGATATAAATGACATGGGATCCACTTCAATTTCTATACGTTACTCCTTGAGTTTTGTAACACTCCCCCTTGGCGACCATCGTCATTAATAGTTCTTCTTATACAGAATCTTCTGTTGCCTCATTAAAAACCTCTCGTGAAAAAAACAGTAGAACAAACCATAGCAAGGTAAAAAGAGTATAACTTAGAATCTCCCCCTCGAATAGATGATCATTAAAAATCTTGTTGATCACGCATTCTAATGTTATAAACATGTTTTCTGAATGTCGTAGTGGACATCGACTTTGTAAAGTGATCTGCAGCATTATCACAAGATCCAACATATCTTACTTCAATTTCTTTATTCTTCTCGAGCTCTTGGGTATATGAGAAGAAATTCGGTGGGATATGCTTGATTGAGTCGCTTTTGATGTATTCTTCTTTTGTTTGAACGACACATGCTGCATTGTCTTCATAAAAGATGGTTGGTTCTGAATTGACGTTGATCCCACTACTTGAAAGGATGTGTTGACTTATTGATCTGAGCCAAACACATTCTCTACTTGCTTCGTGGAGAGCGATTATTTCAGCATGGTTTGATGAAGTGGCTACAAGTGTTTGTTTCTGAGATCGTCATGATATAGCATTTACTCCAATTGTGAATACGTGCACCGTCTGTGATTTACCTTTATGTGGGTCAGACAAATATCATGCATCTTCAAAGCCAATCATTTCTCCGTTTGAGTTGTTAGGATAAAATAATCCTACATAAATTTTTCCTTGAAGATAGCGAAAGACATGTTTGATCCCATTCCAATGTCTTTGCATAGGAGAGCACTGAATCTCGCCAAAAGATTAACATCAAATGATATATCAGTCCGAGTACAATTTGCAAGATACATGAGTGCTCCTATTGCACTTAGATATGGTACTTCAAGGCCAAGTATCTCCTCATTTTCTTCATATGGTCGAAAAGGATCATTTTCAATATTTAGTGATCTAATAACCATAGGAGTACTTAGTGGAGTGTCTTTGTCTATGTTTTATCGTTTCAAAAGTCTTTTCGTTTTTGTAGACTGGTGTACAAATATACCTTTATGTGAATGCTCAATTTGTAGACCAATACAATCTTTTGTCTGTCCAAGATCTTTCATCTCAAATTCTCCTTTTAAATAATCAGATGTTGTTTGTATTATTCCTTGGGTACCGATGATATCTAGATCATCAACATATACAGCTATAATTACAAATCCAGAAGATGCTTCTTGATGAAAAAACATGGGTATATACGGCTGTTTACATATCCTTCTTTAGTTAAATGCTCACTAAGACGATTGTACCATATTCGTCCAGACTGCTTTAAGCCGTATAATGATCTTTGCAATTTTATTGCACATAACTCTCTAGGTTTAGAATTTAATTGTTCTGGCATTTTAAATCCT